ATGTCCATTATATACAGAGTAAGAATCCTTCCAGCACTTGAACTGCTCTGCCCTATGCTGGGACCCATCATAGTTAAACGACTTCCTCTAAATTCGACGTTTAAAAATAAGACTGGAATTTAAAAATATATATATATATTTTTTATTGTACACAAGATATTTCCCATCATAAATCTGCCGAGGCCTCCACTGCTTTGTGCGACGGTGCTCATGTGCTCTCAGCCTTGTCCAGGCCCTCCCTGCCCAATGAGCAGCTCTCTGCTCTGGAACAGATGGGCGCTTGTGCCACACAGCTGCACTGGGCAAGAACAGCGTCTCGGTCTGTGAACCCAACACGACAGCTGCCTGCCGTGGGCTCACACCCGCACTGCCAGGCCCGGGGAAGCAACAGGAAGACTGGAAGCACTCAGGGGAAAAAAGAAAGGAAGTGGGGGAGTGGGGAACATTTTTAAGTTATAGGTGACCAACTCAGCAGAGATGCTTAAAGACAGGACATGGGAGATCGTGGTTTCTCTTTCCTAAAGAGGATAAAAGGCACCTAGAGAAAAGTACCATCGCAAATCGGAAACCAACACCAAAAAAAAATACTACCAATGCACTGACAGAGCATTTGTAGCTCAGCTTCCACTTGGAGGCCTCGCTGAGGAGGTGAGTTTAATGCAGCCAATTTAAAAAAAGAGAAAAAGACTTCAACAAAATGGGCTGAGCTAGACACTCAGTTCTCTTCCTTTGAAGAAGAGTTCACAACAAAAATGACATCTGCAAAGATGGCCGAGTATACACAGTAGTAATTCTATTAAGATAATGTCATGAGTTCGAGTTAAAGGTTTGTTCTTACACCTTTTTTTTTTTTGCAATAGCATACACACATACGACCAGTTCCTCTGCCTATAATGTCCGCGTTCTGGACTGTAAAGCTGCCCTGACATCATTAAAAGCAACACATTTCCAGGTCCCAGCACTGCAACTGCCAGTGAAACACATGACGGCAACAGAGAAACATGAACCTCTTTTAAAACTGAGAACAGCAGGCACTTCCGAACTCAAAAGGTGGTGGGAATGTGGAACAAGCCAATATCCTGGTTTCCTTGAAGAAAAGCCTGGAAGTGCTCCTTGGATCAACAAGTTATAAATTAGCAAAGAAGACAGATCCGCTGAATGGTCTCTCATGTTCTAATGCAGTAACGTGCATAAGGCAGACCCCAAGGCCAACAGTTGGTAGTAAAGATGAGAGACGTGCTTTTGCTCACCGCTATCCTGAGACGCAATCTTATCTGGCCGACGTCTACACAGACACTCTCAGAAACACCACGTCAGGCAGTGGAGCTTTTTAGAAAATCAATACTGAACCTAAACTTCAGCACTTCAAGATTTTAAGACCACGCACTGTGAAAGCATCCTTATTTTGTAGCCCACTTGCAACTGCTCTTTTTGTTAAGCTGCTTCCCATGAATATTTGTTTTGGGTGCAGTTGCCTTCCTTATCCCATTAGCTGGAAACAATAGCGCTCCTCCATTGAGGAGGCAGCTGCTGCTTTCAAGGGGGCAGGTGCTCTATTTTAGTGCCCAGTGCTCATCACTGCCTGGATTCTTCCCTGAATAGACATGTAAGCTGTGATCCAACACAGCAGCAGAAAACCCTTAATGCTGGTAGGCCCATTCACATTACAAGAATGGGAAGTTATTTAGGGAGATTTGGCAGGGCTAAAGTGATTTCATCTTAGTGATGTAACCTTCCAGCCTTTTAAAAAAAGCATGCCCTCAGGATACAATTCTGTTCTGACTTTTCTTGTACACTTCTACTCATATAAAAAAGATTTTCTGAGCCATCCCCACACTAAAGAGTTCCACTTGAGCATGGGGACAACAAAGAACCTGATTTTTTCACAGAAAATACTAAATCTCCATGTTACAAAATAAAATTAAAATGCTCTTAAAAGTAACCAATTAAATTTAGTCGGAAGCCTTCTGGATCTGCGTCACCTCCCAGCATTTCTTGTGTTCTTTTCTCACGAGGAAAATAAACTGAATGTGGTGGTAAGGGTTTGATGGACACTAGCCATTGTGTGTTGACCGCTCTCCTGATATGACTCTGGTAAGACCTTAAAATCAAGCAGAGGTCTGCCTCCAGTGTTAAACAATTTCAAAAATTCAAATAAAGCCGCCAAACAGCTCTTTTACTTTAGGATTTCTTCAGAAACCTCAAAAGACCTCCTACCATGAAAGAATATCATATCGATCGCCCTTTTCTCATTTTGTACCAGAAACTGGGTGCTCTAAATGGTCATCTGCTGATCAATCCAACCACAAGATTATCAAACTGTAATTCGGGAATCTTTTAGGCTTCCTAAAGATAATCTTGAGAAAGGTTTAAATAAAACCTTGAACTACGAATTCCAGTCTTGACTCCTTGCTACTGATCTAACCCGTAAATGGTTGTCCTCAGCTTGACGGAAATATGGGAATTTCTGACGGCAGCAGTTTCATTTAACAACTACTTATGCAACTACTTATCTGAGAAGGGGAACATGTGCACTGTGTGTCCTACTGAAAGAAACTTCATTTTCATGACAAACCTGTACACAGTACAGTTTTTTGAGTTTGTGAGTTTTTTCACAAATTAAAGATCAATTAATGTCGAATGTCATTACTGTCCACAGGTGGCTTAGTATGGCATCGCTTCTCTTGGTTTGTACAAATGCTGGAGCATTAATCTTGGATACAGTGAGGCATCCATGTAAACCACGAAAACTGATTTTTGTGGAAACATTTTTTGGAAAAAAAGGCGATTCTACCACAAAAATCTGCCCCTGAACAAGGTTTCTAAAGCAAACTGAACAAACAGCTAGCTTACACTTGCAATGACATTTTTCAGTTTAAAAGCTCAGCTGTACTGGCACGGTGAGAGGCAGCTATGTAACTCGCAGAAGTGAGTCCTCCTGCAGAAACTACACAACACCGGGGAGAAGCGGTGTAACCGAAGCTGTGCTCACTCTCCTGTTAAATGTTCAACAGTGGAGCAATGTATATGAAAATGATTTCTTTTAATAGAACAAAGTGTATAGTGCCAAATAATGGCAAATAATGTCAGATGTTTGTGCACCTTGGGTTTGGATTTAGTAGACCTTTCTTCGGGGTCTACTCCACTCAAATCAGGATAAGATAGCAGCATTGGTTTTCTGAAACTATTCTGAATATTTCATTCAAGCAATTTAGCAGTCAGCATCCTTCACATCTAACAGTATTCCTTCAATGGCTGTCGCTGTCGGACCGAAAGGGCCAAACAGAACTTTGATTCTTTTGCCCGTTTCAAAGCTGTAATTCCTGCAGCTCACTGGTCTTGCACGCCTCACGTCACTGACACGCTGAAACATGACGCTACGTTTCTTAGATCCGAGACCTTTAGGAATCGATTCAGCCAGCTGCGTCTCGGTAAGCTGCCCCGATATATTGTACGTTTCTTCTTTCAGGCATCCCAGAAAAAAAAATCTCCAGTCCGCAAACAGCTGAAGCAAAACAACATCTTTAAGCATTCACCACTGTGAGGAAGCAACAAAAAGGGAACACAAAATGATATATATATATACAAAAAATACATGATTTTATTCAAAATTGTACGTTATAAAAAGATATTGCTGCTCTGGAATCAGTCCAGATCAGAGTATGAGTGATCCTAATACAAGTATTCAATATCCACTGATTTTCACTGGGGCTGTTCTTTAGCATAATATTGTGGGCTTATGGAACAAGCTGCGCAGACATGTTGTTGAACCTAATACCCGGATGTTGTTTAGGAAACAGCTGATCTTTGGACAAATAAGCTATTCACCACAAATCAGGCTAGATGGGTCTTCTCTCACTTGTAACTGTTCTTCATATGCTTAACATTATGAACAATGCAGAGCAGGAGCCTATTCTTTTTGGCACAGGGTTCAAGGAGAGACTGAACTCCTTGAATTGGATGCAAGTCCATCACAGGGCATGCACACACATTCACTCACACCTGCCCTGCAAAACCTGGACTTGGGCTGATGTCCAGCCCGGACTGATGCCTGTGGTCTGTGGGAGGAAAGTGAAACACCAGGAGAAAACCCACATGGGCACAGGGATATCAAGCTCCAAACTGTATGTGCCTCATCATCACTGCATGTTTCTCTCATGCTAGTGTCTACCCAGTCATGCTGCAGGTCACTGGACAGTGTCCTAGGGTTCTTGCTGAGCTCCTGAACAATTCATGCAGGATGCGCTTGGTCTTCCAAAGGTGGGGAGGATGCTAGTTACACCTTTTTATTGGGACAGTTTTACTCTTATTCTGCTTTTGAGCACACCAAACATGCGCTCTACCTCTGTGCACCTCATGCCTTCTTTGTGCAGCGTGACAACAGCTTGATATCGGAGCTTCGTTTTACTACACTTGCCCAGCATGAAGTCTAATTAGTTATTCACAGATTCCGCTTGGCTTGGAGATAAAATACTTGATTGCTGCCATAGTTTATTAGGTTGTATTGTCATTTTGCGTGTTTTTGGAATTAAATTAGGAAAGGAAATACACCTTTGAGTGCATTTACATTAATGCTCTGTTCACACCATATATTATTCACTGCATATGTATACAGCACATCAAGGCCTGGTTATGTCCTTGCACATCTGCCATGTAGCTCAATACACCTTATCCATGTATCAAAAACAACAAGACAGGAAGTTGAATACAGAGATCTGTCCTCAACATCCTAGACATGCATCCTTCTAGCATCCCAAAACAGTGCCACTCATTGCTACTGTTAAGTCAGACAGACATCTTTAATTTTACATCTCTAAATATTATTATTAGTATTTGCTCTGTTTAACACTAAACCTACCTCATGCACTCTGGCACCCACGGTGTATGCTAGTTGAATTGCTATGATTACGACTCCCAGCCCTCCGAACTAAACCACCAAACCACACAAGGATACAGTAGCGATTCATTCGGTATTGCAGAGAAAAAATGGGAGGTTTTACCTGTTGGAATCCGAGAGCAGAGAGAAGGCAGTCCTCCGGAGGCCCCTTCTGCCACTGTGCGGCGACACGGGAGCCCGTGGAAATAAAGCGGAGAGGATGTATTTCTCCGAGCGCGACCCGTTTCCCGGCGCACCTCGGGTTCTCCAAGACCACCGCAAAAATCGGACTGGACAGCGAGGGAGGCGAAGCGGCTCCCCCTGTGCTGTGGGATCCTATCAGCGTGGAAGGAAACTCCAAAACACACCCCCCCTCCTATACAAAAAAAAACCCGAAGAAGAGGTACCGGTGTTTTAATCCATTGTCCTTCTTCCGCCGTCGGGAGACTGATTCGGTACCGCCCGGGGGGGAGGCGAGATTCGGTTTCTCGGCTTGCTGCTTGCTATTTCTGGCTCTGGCAAACCCCAGCCGCACACACTGCAGCAGCACACTCTCTCCCTATCCGGGGAGCAGACGGCCCTGGAGAATCCGTCATGCAAACTAAAGAAGCTGTGGCGGAGGGGGAGAGAGAGAGAGAGAGAGGGTTGTTGGTGTGTGTGTGTGTGAGCGTGGAGGAAAGTAAGGGGGCTAAACGGCACAGGCACCTGCTCGTCCCCTAATTCAATTCTGGACTGCCTCATGTCACGCAGACACAGGCAGAGAGGAGCTGGGGGAGACCGCGACAGAAAGGAAACCTTCCCAAGCCCCAGGAATGAGCCGACAGATCTAGACTCTGCAGAGCGCCGAAAGACGGGGGGAGAGAGAGAAAGCGAGTCGGATGCGACCTGCTTTTCCCCATCCACAATCAGGAACCGTAATATTAATACAGCGCTCAGCTGTCACCACAGGCTACACCCCTCCGTGAGCGCACACACACACACCCTGCACCTCATTAAAACACACACACGGACGTCTTCCCATCTGTCATTCACGGGAGCAGCGGCAGCCCATGAAGCCGAGAGACCTGAAGCAGGAGCGCCGGGGGTGTGTGTCTGCACTGTATTTCTGCCTTTTCCTTCCTTAAAGCTGAAACGCACGCAGAGCAGTAACTCCCAAAAGACGAAGCTGCTCCGCATTTGCAGGGAGTGAGGATCTTAATGCCCTAACAGACAACACCGGGGACGACAGACCCGACGTGGGATACGACTTTCCCGAAAATGAAGCACACGCAGCTCTGTTCTGAATTACCAGGCTGACTTTACGAGATGTCGTCATTGCAGCGCACATAAAAAAAAAAAATATCTGCTGCCCCCTCTAATTAGCTACAATTCAGGAGGATTGCTTTATTTAAAGATCCGTTGTCGACAGGTTAATGATTCCTGTTTTATTTATACTTTGTCTAGATCTCTAAGAACAATCACTGTTCTGCTCGCCTACAGCAGGGACAAATGAAAACCCAAATCGGCACTTAAAGATTAGATTTAATATATTTATGTCTCAGTTCTAGACTTGCTAGAAGTGTGAATTCTTCGCTGTCCAGGGAAATATAAGTAATGGACAAATTTAGTGGAGTTCTTCCACATCTAGTGTTTGGTATTCCTTCACCTATAGCATTGCCACTGATTAACACAGGACTCCCTCTGAATTTCCATCTCTTAGAGAGAGCCCTGCAAGATTAGTGTTTGTCCCTGAGCCTCCTATGTGCTAAGATGTTGTATTTATGGGGAGTCCGTTTTTAAAAAAAGCATTGCAGAACATCTTCTGCTGTTTTGTAGCTGAAACTATGGCTGTTTATTCTCGGTCTCTAGCGACACTAGAATACGAAACGAGCCTGCCAGACCTTGCTCATTGCATCATGCCTTTTGCAGTCCGCTGTGACACGAGGAAGGCTGTTTTGATACACAGCCGTGCTCTGCAGGGAGTGACAATGGTGAACTGCAAAGCACAGATGCAAAACCCAACTGCAAAAACTGCCACTGGGGGGTTTTGGAGCACAATGTTAATGGACAAAACAACCTGACCTTCCACGAGGCCCGTCTGTGACCCTGCCGCAGGTTGGCGATGGGTGAAAGCCCACTGTGTGCGCCTTGCTTTGCCTCCCTGCTCTGGTGGGATCTCGGCGGCTCACGCGCCTGTGCACATGGGATTTTCCAGGCATGTTCTCCAGGGCACGTGTGGATTACACCCCACCTCGGCTCCTGCAGCCGCTGAGGCACGCACTGGGAGCCGAAGGGGAAGGGATGGGGAAACACTGGGGCCGCTGTCCGGTGCACCAGCTGCATGGGATCTGACTCTGTGTGGATAACTGAGAAGGCGGGAGGGGAGTGAACCGGTCGCACTGCTGTTTCCAAAACAGACAACCCAAGGAAAGACGACGTGACCGCCAACAACTTTCGCTCTGCGAGTTAATCAGCGAGATCTCCACTACTGACGCAAAGCTTGTATTGTTCTTGTCGTTTGTTTTACACAAAAAAGCATTTCGCATGCTAAGGCGTGCCCCTATGGCACATTGCAGACAGATAAAAGGTCGCTGCAGGATTCTGCTTCAAGCCCACAGGGTGGTGGAGAACACCTGATCGGGCTGCACTGGAGAGCAGAAGTTGTGAGGTTGCTATAGAAATATCCTTGAGGAGGAAGCTGGGGGAGGATGCTAATGTGTGTAGGGGCTGCTTTTCTATAACCTACAAAGTAAAATAATGCACAGTTCCTAAAACTTGAATTGCACCTGCAGTGATGAATAAGGTCTAAGTGGAGGTGTGTGAACTCAAAAGACAAAGCATATCGCTCTTTTTTGAGGGGAAAAAGCAGAGAATGCTGGCAAAACGTGACAGATGGCTGCCCTGCGCACTGTGGCCTTAGTGTGCTGGAAGGACTTTGCTTTCCAGAGTAGAGGAGCAGGCACACATGGCCTCCTCCGGGGCGACACAGGACACAGGACACAGGAAGCGTCACAGTCCTGGAGCTCTGCCAGCAAAAAAAAACGTATTGCAAGGCTATGTCTTAAAACGCAGACAAACAGGGTGAAATAACAAACAAAAGGTTCTGAACAATTTCTGGATTTCGACAAATAGGTAGTGAAAGTAACCCGGTCCATCTGTGAACTCACGTGTTGAGCCATCTGCTTGTCTTTCTTAAAAGGAACTTGGAAAGAAACCCGTTTTGATTAAATGCTTTTCAGTGGCCTCCACAATCTGCTGGGGTCTCTCAAGGAGCACTTGACAAGAAAGGACAGAAGGTTTCAGAAGCGTTTCAAGCCATTCGTTAAGAGGAACTGTGTGGATCTCCACAAGGCAAGATGTTTCCACTCATTCAAGTGCACTCCTGGAGAAATATTTGGGGCTGGTATTTGATATTGTGGCAGGACAGCTCAGTTGCAGGAAAGAAACATCAGATTGTGTAGCGGTTTTAAAACCTTTCATATACTTGCCTATCATACATGATTGAACATAAGAAAGGTAACTAACGAAAGCCAGCACATGTAACTCATTTGGATGCTTGTTGCTAAGTGACCTTAGGATCTTATCCATCTGCTTGACTAAACCAATGGCATTTTGTCACCAACAGTCTCCCAGCTGTGATTGCTTGATACTGTCTGGATGCTACCAGATTTCAGTGGTTACAAACAAAACCTCAAGGTGCTTTCTGAGCCCTCACCTTACATCGCAGGATACTTCACTGTCTCACGGAGGCCTGACCTGTCGAGCCACCTCAATGGCACAACAAGGAAAACCATAATGTCAGCCAAAGATGTTCTTGCTGTCTTGCGTTTGTATTAGACGACTACAGCTTCCCACAGGGCTTCTCCAGAGTTCTGAAAATCGGGCCCCGTGCTGTTTCAGGTTATGAGAAATGTCTGTTCCAGAAGGAAATGCCAGGCAGTGGAAATGGGAAGCTGAGCACTGCTCTGAGAATTTAATAAGCTTAAAAAGCAATGTTTCAGCAATTCCACAACACTCCCCTAACCCGATTGAAATGGTACACGTACGTTCATTAAAATAAGCTCATGGGAAAGAGGATTTTGAGTCAGATGAAAATAAGGTGGCACATACTAATCTTTTCAAAATTCCACATTCTGAACATGCCATTTAACTCTTCTTTGTACTTTTGTGGTGCCAATACAGTATATAGTACAATACATCACTGCTACAGGTTTTAGAAACCAAAAAAATATATCATTTTATCTACGTATTTGTTCTGATTCGTTGGCCTTATTCCTCAGAGAACTACCCTTCGGTGGTCAAAGCCCATTCAGGTACCTTGGAGGCCATGCCTATTGGTCTGAATGCAGCCGGTAATTGCATTTGAAGACCCTGTTTCAGGGAAGCAAACATGTTGCACCAGCCAGGTTTCTGAAAAGAAGGTTCCCTATTGAGCACCTGTCTGGGGGAAGAGAAAAGCATTCCCATAGTCATTGCATACCAGTGCTCTTACACTGTCACCAGTGTTCTTGGCCAGCTGGATTGCATGTGACTGCCACATAATTGGGAAAAGAGAACACACTTTCGGATGTGCTTTTGTAAAAGAACCTCCTTATGCTCGTCTCTTTTTGTCTGTGCAAACGGGAGATGTCAATGGTCAATTGACATCTCTGTGAAATGGAACTGTAAAAGATTGTGGTAACAAGCAGGAAACATACTTTCAGCCCAGAAGGCAGATACAATGGTGCCATTACATAATTTAGCCGGGCATGTGTCTGAGGGCAGGGGAACCTCAAGTAAAAGGTGTAATCTTCTTTGGGATGTTGTTGACTACACGGTTTGCAGGATGTGGTAATCGGTCTCTTAATCTGATCCCTTAAGCCATATCCTCCTTGCCATTGACTGTACTTTCCTTGGATATTAAGTAACGTCGGGACAGAAAGGCCCAAGAACCTGGTCTTGTTCCTGTGTCAAACATCTTAATCTTCCCCACTCTCCAGCTCGCTGCCATTCCCAGCAGGGGCCCCGTGTCTTCTGAAAGAGCGCCCCCATTGTCAAAGGAGAATACGCTTTGTTTTTCGCCAGTTCTAGCCCACACCTGCCTGCTGCACCTCGGGACGCCAGCTAAAAACCTTTCTCCGGTTCCGGCAGAGCAATCCCAGAATTCCACCAATCCTGGACATCAGAACCATGTTGATAAAACTCATCCATCCCTCCGCTTCCTCACAGCTTCATGCAATTCCCGTTAATGGACTTGAATCCAGTCCAAGCGTCTCGGGGCAGGCATGGAGACACAGACACACACTCGCGCAGAACCCGAAGAAAACCCACACAAAGATGTGGAGAAAGTAGTGTGGAAGACCGAGTCAAAAGGTCAGTGACTATGCGCAGGAAAGGTTTTCTGTTGTTCTGTGCA